CCGAGGGCAATCACCAAAAGTGAGGGGTCTTCGCGTCTATAAAGAGGATTTACCTTGAAGGTGAAAAACCAAACAAGTGTACATTTACACACTAAGGAAAGCCATTAATTCACTAACCGAGTTTGTAGCAATCAAGTGGGTGAAAAAGTTAGGATGCGAGCGTAAAACGCACTCAATGTCACTAATGAATAGATAAATGCGTAAAGTGATAAAATTGTGGTGACTCTTGCATTTATGAAAAACATAACTGTTCTATAGTTACGGTTCCAAATTTGTTATGTGGATTCAAGATAGTAACGTAGTTGACTTCATAATATCAACATGTACATATTGATGCACACACGCACGAGTCTTGGCTTGACTTATGATTATGTTTCAAATTTTTTTAAAATGATTTGAAATTCGAAGTACATTCAATTGTTATTTCGTGCATGCCTAACCGCCATTTTCAAGGCCAATTCTTAATTGTTACAAGTCTAGGCGGAATGAACACACCTCCTTTTGTTTTGCTTGAGGACAAGCAAAAGCTTTAGTGTGGGGAAGTTTGATAAGTACCAAATTATGCATAATTTTAGTGTCAAAAGTTCCTATATTTCAATTACCTTTGGTGATAAATGGTACAAGTTTGGCACTTATCTTGTCTAAATTATGTTACGTAGGTCGTACTACATTATTTTGGTAAAAAGGAATGTAAAGAAAGCAAGAAGGAGCAAAACTTTATGAGTTTCGAATGTCAAATGAGTTACACGGCCGGGGACATGATCGTGTAATTGTCTACTTCGAGGAAAAATTACATCCGTACTACACCGACAAAGACACGACCATGTACTTAGCCATGTCTTACGAAACACGATATTTTACTCCTATTTAATCGAAACTCGACCTAAAAAAGGGGAGGGGTCGAGATACATGAGGACGCACTGAGAAGCACGAAAAGAACTAGGGTTTTTGAGCAAGATAACGTCGTTGGAGGGGATTCTCATAGATTTTGAAGGAGATTGCATCAAGATCAAAAGGGTTACAATGATTTCCTTTAATCTAGATTGTTTTTTGTTTAAGATTTATGTATTCCTTGCTTTGATCATGAACTAAATTATTTTGGTACCTAGATACGATGAACCTTAAGATTGACTATGTAATTTGATATCTTCATTCAATTCAATTGTTATTTTTATTGTGATTTAGTTATATCACTTTTATCATTAATTTGAGTTAACATAAGCTAGCATGTTGATTCATATCCGATTTCATACTATGAGATTGAAAAGTCCTAAATATGATTAGATCAACCATGACCGAAAGGAGTTGCATGCAATCCTAGAGATAGGACAACATAAATCCTCTAGATTAGAATAAAATCTAATAGAGGGATTCATAGAATGGATTAATGCGATCTTAAGGGTGTTAATTAAAAAGAGATTTCAATTAATCAACTTTGGATTAAGTGTTAGTTAATGCTATCCGGGTACTACCTCACCATTGAATGCTCATCTGGTTATTATCATCATTCTCATTGCAATATTGTAATCTTACTTTAATTATCGGTGCTTTTATTTGATTCATTATCACTATAATTCATCGGTTAGATAATAAATAAGAGGTAATTACTAGTATTCTTAGTCGCTATGGGATCGACACTCGATACTCTATCAATTATACTATAGAATGATAGGTGCACTTCCCTAAAGTCTATAGGTTAAGAAATGGGATATCGGTAATATTCTAACTCTGTATTATCTAAGAAGAGAGAGGAATCACCCATTTTAAGTAACCCTCTAATAGCTTATACATTCCTTAATATCATGCCAACTTTGCTAAGAGAGATATATCGTTCCCATTATAAGATATAATTCTATCATTAAGGGTACATGTAAGAGGGTTGGTCATTAGGTACCAGTCTATAATCTTGTGAATAATCATTATGCTCTCCAATAATCTTGTGATATTGGCCTAAATAATACTTACGATGTTAATTTATAGCTATTAGACCATTATAGACTAGTAACGCATCTCGTGAAGGTATTGTTAGTATCCTCTCCAATACCCAAAAGTATACCCAAAAGGAAGGGTGTTGCTATAAGATATTGAATGTTAGTATTTTAGGAGAAATATGATTGTAAAGGTATATGATTGACAAAGACTAGTACCCTTATTATTTATCCCCTCCATAATTGATTATTCATAAGATTATAGACTAGTACCTAATGACCAACCCTCTTACATGTACCTTAATGATAGAATTGTATCTTATAGTGGGAAAGGAATATAATGACTTATTCTCTTACCTTTATAATCAGTTTATTGCATATTCTCTCCTATAGACAATAGGCTATATTATTGATAAATAATCCCCCTATGCTTGGGATATATTTTTGATAATTACAAGTGATCACATGTTGACTATCATAACTATCCTTATAATCATTCTCATAAGAGGAAGAGGGATGTAAACTAAATTGATCACCATATATACTGAAGTTTACAACACATAAACTAATACCCCTACTATCATTAGAGAGAGTTGATGATGGCAAAGTAAAATATTTTAAGGGGATATAACATTCCTCTAAATAATTAGGAACATTCTCTCCCAAGAATTAAATATTATGGTACCATCTAATCGACATGGAGGAAATTAATCCCTAGTCAATATAAGGATTTTCTAGGTGACCATCCTTCAATTAGTGTCATTATATAAATAATGTACCCATTCTAGATAGGTTCCTCTCTACCTCCCAAGGTTATAACCCCTAGGCTTATAACCGTATACATTACTTGAGATAGAATGTCTTACTTGCGGGGTAATATTGAACTTAGTAAATTTGGTCCATATGAAGTTCCTTGTATCATTTAAAATAGTCTCTCTCTACATAATATAATCTCTCCCTAATGGTAAAATTTAAAGAAATTCAAGGAGTTATATACATCTATTAGAATATAGACTAAAAACCTCAATATTAATAATGTAGTCCTAATTCATCTAATGGTCTTCCTCTCTCCCTACTATTTTATCCTTACTCTTATGTGATTATCAATCTATGCCTAGACCATCTAATGTACTCCTTTTTTTATAGTTGAGGATTATGATTAAAACTAAGTCCCTCTCTCCATCGATTGGCACGTTTCCTTTTTTGGAATTTGATGTAGTGTGGGTTAACCATAATTAGAATCCCTTAATGCGGAACTCCTAATAATGGACTATAATATTTGTATATTTATTGTGTTTGGCCTACACGTCTTTGACAAGGATTCCCCACAATATCGTCATCTGTACCCAAAAATTTCATTTCCTCTATATAAAATTAGGTAAAAACCCTATCCCGAAAGTGATACTTTATGCCCATAACTTTTTCTATAAATACTAATGGGGAAATGTTTCTTTATCAAGGATCATGAACCTTTTGAATAACCATATCAATCTAGAATGATCGGGATATATGAGAAAGAAATCCAATTTAAGATATATGATTGTGCCTCCCCTAATATCTCCTTTTATCCCTCTCTCTCTCTATCCCTCTCCCCCTAACTCTCTCTTCCCATCCCTTTCTCCCTCTATTAACCTTAGCACTCTAAAGATGATGACTACCATGATGAGAGGATTGGTTATTAATAAAAGTATCATTATGGTGAAAAGAGGCACATACTTATCAAAACTATTTCTAGTATAAGAAATGATTTAAGCTATCAAACTAACTAACCCCTCTCTCTCTCCCGTTCAAAATTATATGAACTAGAGGAACTAGATTTCAGTTATGTCCCTAGCCAATATAGTTAATTTTATTGAGCTTATAAGTCTATAAGGATATCACATTTTTATCATTTGATCTGATGAATTGATACATTTTTCATTAATTTGATGCAATACCTATCGATAGGTATTCCATTTTCTCTTCCACCTAGGCATGTAGCAATAAACCCCTCTTCATAAGAGATCATTATGTGATTAGATTTTGCATCATGAATTTTACACGACTTTCTCTAATAATATTGCTCATCCCCTCATGCTTCCACTAGATGGAGGTACTTATAAAATTATTTATAGCATAATTGTTACCATTATTCAATATGAGGGAACATCAATTAAGTGATGAGAAAGAAATTATGATTTCAAATAGAGCTCTCACAATTGATGATTGCCTCCACAATTATTAACCATTGAGAGTCCTCCCATGATAAGGGTGGCTATTGTAAATTTGACTATAAGAGTGGCCTTCTTATTAACATATTTATACGAAGGAGAGAGGTATAAGATTTATTTTAATTAAGCTAGGTTATATATTCCTATTAGCATAATTATACCAACTCCAATCACTTCTATGATAAAGAGGACTTTTCTATGTATAAGGTCTATGGATTTGAATAGCCACCCTTTAGTAATTTAGGGAGGGACACGTCAAGTTACATTCCATCAAATTGAATAATATCCAAAAAGAGCGACTATGGGGATAATAATCAGTATCAATGCCTAAGTATATCTCATGACATTAAGAAGAAGGGAGAGAAAGAGAGGGGAAGAGAGAGTTAGAGGGAGATTTTCAACAAAGCTAAAAATATAGGCTAGAAATTTTGTATTTAGTGAATTTCAACTATGACTTAGACTAAAAAGGGCACTATTCTCCTAGGGAAACGTTCCAATGTTTTTAATAATCATGATATATACCTAGTTATTATAGGGTACATTTATGGAGGGTGTTGGCGAAATTTGGAGAGAGAGAGAACTATTCCTAGGTGTCTAAAGTCGTATGATACACCTATTCTCCCCCTCTCTCCTCTCACAATCCTCTAATAAATGGTTAAGAATGAGAACCAACATCATCCTCAAGGGCTTAACCTTTGATATTTCCTCTCTCTATTTTATATCAAATACTCTAAATATCGAAGAATGTTTATTTTCGATTCTAAGTAAGAATGATGTTTGTAGGTGGGAATTACCCTAATAGAAGGTCATAACCATGGAAAGGTTTTAAACAAATTCGTTATTCATGTTTGTTTATATTAAGCACTCTATTTAAGGTAACCCCGGGGTGTGTCATCCAAGTAAAAGCTATACTAGCCCTTGCTAGACATATATTATTAGGCCGTATTATAAACATCTAATATAGGTATAATCAGAGTTAAGCAACTTAATTTGAAAAAGGGTTATTGTTAATAAGAGAGGCATGATACCCCTTTGTATAAAATTACGCAAAAAATGCTATCCTGAAAGGGATACTTTATGCCCATAACTTTTGCTATAAATACAAATGGGGAAATATTTCCCCTTAATCGAATCCCAAATGATTGATTGTGCCTAAATTAATTGCCATTAATTAGGTTCCTCTTACTAGATATAAGGATATTATCAATGAGGAATAATATGACATCAGTAATCTGTTTGTATTTTGTGAACGCTTATTCGAGGTATTACAATATGCCATTATACTAGGAAGAAATAACAGAGTCCTTAACTAGATATGTCATTAATTAACTAGTATATTTAGCAAACTTGGTTACCTTATATTGATCTAGTTATAGTTCAATACCGACTTATACAATCAAAGGGAACTTAACCCCCAAATGTTCCTCAGACCAACAATTTCAAACATCGTATGATTAAGAAAATACAATTAAACTCTCTATATCTGTTAAAGCTTACCCACTGTCCCTCCGAGTTAGCCTAGTTGAATAACTTATACCATGATTTGATAATGGTTATTCGTGGGTAAAAGGGACCCAAACACCTATTTATACTGGAGGAATGAATCCCTAGGGTAACTTAAGACCAATGGCAAATGCTAACATTATCTTGACCTCACTCTCTCTTTATCATAGGGGACCTTTATGACCTCTATTATAGATACGGACTTGCTATTTTTTTAACAAGCCATGTACTTCATTCACGAATTGCATTATCACCTTTAAGAGAGAGTGAGGGTGATGAGAGATTAATTCTCCCCTATATGGGTTCTAGGTTAATATTTTAGTATAAAACTATATAATATTAGCATTATCATATTAATGTCTAGAGTAGAAGATCACATATTGTCTACCAATAATTCCTTTACTTGTAAACCCTAGCCATATAGAGTAATCCATTGTAATTAGGTATCTCTCGGTTATCTTGAAGTACTCTATCGTTAACGCCCTCCATAATGATATAGTCATTTAGATTACTACTTTTTAAAATATCATTATCAACGGTGTTATTAATTGATACTAACGGACTATTATTAACGATTCTCAAGTGATCATAATCGAACTAATCATGGACAATCTAATAGAGAGGAACCTATTTATTCCTAAGTCCATAGTAGGAGTACTATAGTCATAGATTTCTTGAAGTAATACCAACTATCTTTTCCAATGGGGAATGAGAATATTGGTCTATTAGAGATAAGATATTTATGAGAACTCTTCACCAAAATGGGTGCGAGAGGAGGTTATCCCTCTAGCACATTTGGACTTTTTCACTAGAACATTATCGTCTACAAAATCATAAGAAATTATCTAAAATGATGGGGATCATAAAATATATTGAATTGCCCACACGTTATAGGCATTGGTATGATGCCTATCATTCTCCTAAAGATTTATTATTTATGGGAAGAATAGTAAGCTAGATTGAACAGATAATTCAAAATTAAACTCCAATAATCTTATGATATTGGCCTAAATAATACTTAAGAAGTTAATTTATAGCTATTAGACTATTATAGATCGGTAACACATCTAGTACCTTAACATGCTTTCAAATTCTTGTGATACAAGTGGACTTAGTATAATAATTGAGTCTTGAAAATGTTGACCATAGTATTGTCTACCCTAAATTATTGCTAAGGACCAATCTAAGGTTCATATATATAAGATTTATGAGGGCCCTTGGTAATTAATCTATAATATTGGAGGCAGGATAAATAATAATTAAAATTATGATGAATAGGGGACTCTTACAATAGGCCCATAATAACTACCATCCTAATTGACCCACATAAGAATTAATAGAAAGAATTATATACTAAAAAAAAAGATATAAGGGGGATAAACTATTTAATAAATTTGTTTGTGGCTTTATGAATAAACCTTCAATGAAGTCTAATGGCACCACGATATCAATAATCGACCAAGGTAGAAATAACGAGATAATATGGTCCACACTATCTATATAGTTATATTGATAGATATGCTAAGTTTCCATTTGCATGTAATTACTCAACTAATTTTCATATAATTGAGTAAATATGAATCAAGGGAACTAAAGTTAATCTAGTTCCCTTATTCCTCGATACTATAGTGACTTCTTATCTTCTAAGCCAAGTCACCAAACTTCAATAGGTGGCCTAAGATTATACCCTTTAGTTCTTATATAGTTTTCTCCACAAATATTGTGATATATATCCCATCTTATAGTCACCCTCCAAACCAATTATCTGGATATAAAATTATCCGTTAACAAACTATTATCCATCATTGATTATCCTCCTAGCTAAATGGGAGAAAACTTATAGCTATATAGATAGTTTGGACCATAAATACTACTTAATGCACGGAGTTAATCAACGAGGAGGGAAATATGATCATATAATATTATAGCTTCTCATAGTTAATTACTCATGAAGTGATTAATACGCCATGGAATATTATAGTGCAAGAGTTGATTATGTGCTAAATCATACAATTCTCCTAAGCAAGTTAATATAACAGGGTATATTCTCCATCTCTCTATTGGGCCATAATAGTCCTTTATTGTATGACTATATTATAGATAATTGTTTTCAGTCTCCGTATCAATTAGAGGGACCTTGAAGAACTAAATGGACTACTTGATACTATCCTTGACGGTTGGTCGGAAGTGATTAATAAGGGATCACTATGTATACTTGTACATGAATATTTCCTTCTCATAAATAATCTATGTACAGGTATTATTACCATATTAATAGGGTATAGATGCATCAGTTGGATAGTTTTAACGATATAAATATTAATCCCTAGCTGAAAGGGAGAGATGGATAGAGTCTCCTTAATTTAAGTCAACCGATGATATCGGCTCTTTGATATTGTTACCAATATTATCCAATGCAGAGTGGTCAAGTTTATCAACAATATTATTGTATGAGAAGGGCAACTGAAGGCCATTAAACTAAACGGTCTAATTATCAAAAAATATTATGTTGGTAATAATTTAACAGCCTATGATAAGAACTTTAGGGATTTTCACACAATAATATTAGTATCTTAAGCCAACACATAGGCCTAAGAGGCATACCTTAAAAGGGAACCAGATAGTAGTGTTAATCATGAAATAGGTTTAGGTAGAATTATAGACTATTCTATATTTTGATATTAGACTTATAACCATAACCACGTATATGTAGGAAATCCTCTTTAGTCTAATTAACCTAGGGTAAATTATTTTGACATTCCTAATAATATATTCGGATACTTGACAGATTGTTAATTCCTTAGAAATTCACTCTATACATAAGCCATAGATAGGAGAGGCAAAATTGGTCAGTGAGATTGTCATTGAATTGCTTTTGGATGATGATAAGATCATTACTAGGGTAAGATATAGGAACAACCATAATAATTAGTGGATATAATGACAATGATAGAGGGAGAGGGATATTATTAGAGGGGTTGATCATAGAAACTATTAAATGGGAGTAACTAATAATGAGGGAGACGATGTGATAAAATATTTCTGTCTCCCTTCTATTTACATATACATCCAAAAAGGAGATTGGGAGAAGTGATCATGCTTGATGACTATAGAATTATATTGGTGTTGGTTACCCATATGGAAGCAGAAATTCCTAACATAATGAATAATCCTTGTAGATGATTGGAGATTGATAATTAGTGCCAATCAAGCGAATGAAAGGACCATTGGTAATCCTCTATGGGTAACCACCATCAACCCATCTTTATACCCTTTCCCTCGATTGAAAGATAATATTGGCCAATGAGAGTAAACTCATAGTTTAATGGTTATTTGGTAATTTGATAAGGAAAATATAGATACATAATAATGAAAACTTAGGAGGAGTCTTCACATGTACACCGGCCTAAATTAAAATTTGGTTAATATATATTTTAATATTAATAGATGACCATATACTGATATTGCCATGTTACAATAAAACATTTATAGCAGTCCAGAGATAAAAAGGTCAATCAAGGGAACATATTCAAGTTGATTAAACAATGTCTAGATCAATGTTTGGTAATGGTACTATTCCGAAAAGGCCGTGAATGTCGGCCTCAAGCGCCCCCAATTATGGATATCAAATAGATTGGTGACATTTTATTTCCGCTATATAATTCAATTTACTCTCAATGCCTTAAAAAAATGAATATTAGCATCTAGCGAGGGACCATTGAACATAACTGGGGGTATTAATCTCTATATAGGACATGCTATCTCCCAAATATTCCATGTATATTCATTGCCATCGTATACGCGGACTTTGTATAGGTAGAGAGAATTGGTACATCATAAATGAATCAGCTTAGGTTGTACAATAAAGATTAACAATGCCAATATTAATGGTCAAATATAAACTAGGGAGACTTAACCATACAATATCCATGGGTTATATAGCCCATCTCCATATTTAATTGGAGAGGGTGGTGATTGATAAAATATCAGATTTCTATCTGACGGTACAAGATTAACAATGCCAATATTAATGGTCAAATATAACCTAGGGAGACTTAACCATACAATATCCATGGGTTATATAGCCCATCTCCATATTTAATTGGAGAGGGTGGTGATTCATAAAATATCAGATTTCTATCTGACGGTACACTTTTGGGTTATATTGGGCATGAGTGACAAGTATATCAGGTTTATACATATTATTAGTTGAACTAACCATAGTATACTCTGTCTGCCAGATATTGATAAGGAATCAATTTAGCCCATTATTATTTAAAATATTATTAGAGGAAATGGTTATAATCATGGCTCTTACATCTGGGTTTATCATTAGATGAAGGGGGAGAGAACTGAGTAAGTGCTTAGGTACTACCAACAACCATGAAATATTAAGCCTGATTAATAGGGTATTATTAATCATGGCAATTATGCTTAGGGGAAATATCTCGCAATTAGAAAAGATGTACGGAATCTCTATCTAACCACGACTAATATCTTTAACTGCCTTTTCAATAGTCCTTCACATAGTAAAATGCATTTACTATGCGAAGGACTATTAATAGAGGATTACAGCTCATATATTCACTCGCCCTCCGGGAAGAATCAATTGTGTTGAAAGCATAGATGTTGATCGTTCCATAATATATAGCCAGGACAATTGAAACATTAAACCAATTTGAGGATGACATCATGATAAATCTTGCAGCTGATAAGATAAATCGTTTAATTGATTCCTAGAGGGGATGATTCCTATTTAGTACCATATGATAATCCCTAGAGGACAACATGGAATATATAACCTTATCAACATTGTAGGCGTAATTATGCAGAGGGTGTCCGTGAATATAGCAAATCTATCAGATAAATCGTATATCACCCCAATCAATATCTAGGCCAAATAGTTATGGTGATATACTGAATATTGTAATACGCCCTTTTTCTATAAATTGACAATATAATATAAGGACATTGAATGGCCAATCATTCTCGTACCAGAAATGTTAAATATATGATTATATGATATTGGACTCTCCGTTAACTTCCCCCATATTAATCCCCGTTTGATTTACCTATTATGACATTCCATTATATATTAATGTTGGTGTTACAATAAGGTTATATATTCCATGGGTCACCAAGCTTAATTCCTGCTTAGAACAAACCAAGCATAATAAGATTGTGTTATAGCACATGGGTGATATATGTTCCCAATAAATGTTTTCAATCTGGGCCGTGGGTTAATATGGCTCCTATTAAGAGAGAACTCGTGAGGGTAAATCAAACGGGGTATAACCAAAGGAATCACCCAACTATGGAGAAATAAGTTAATCTACTTACACGATTAGTGAAAATCCAGATTTATTGGGCATATATAACACTATCACTTTAGGACCAAATAACCGTTGGTCTGTGGATAACATAGTGTTTAGATAATATATCATTATTGGTCCTACTATTGATAACATATCTCTCATGACATAATGTTTAGATATATCACCGGCTCCATGTTCAAGTTATAGGTTGCTCTCTTCCCTATAACGTACTCCCATTTGGCATTGAACAAGGTCCCTCTAGAGATCGATTATGCCAACTTTCAAGGACCAGTGCTGATGCGTGAATTAGATGAGGTAATATTGGCTGTCTATCTATTTCTTCTCCATGCTAGTCCTATGCAACGATTATCCACACCACTCTTTATGGGCCAATATGCTAACAAATGTTCTAGACCATACTAATCCATTTCACGCATCAAAATACTATACCCTCAATCATTGTCCAATTAATTATTGTTTGTCATCCAATTTAATTATAAGAGATGTCCCTAGCTCTATCCACTAGCCTAATATTAAAATGATCTATGAGTCTATGTAATTTATAGAGAGGGATAATCTCTAACCACATACTAATCCACCAAAATAGTCAAGCTCTATCCACTTGTCATTTGTGTCCAGTCAGAGAGTTTTAATAGTTTTAACTGGTCATTTGAGTTCCTATATGGTGCCTTAAAATTGTAGTATGAAAATACTAGGTATTAATCGTATCTTTTGGTTTGGCCTATTATTAATATGTGTGCAAATTAACTGACAAACAATCATGACACCTATTTAGGTCATTTGAGAGAGTTATTCATTGGTTACAATGTCCAATCTACTCTCTGATTGGACACTCTTAATAGGAATAAACTAGAGCATATAATCAGATTATAAATGCTTCACTTATTAGGACGATATTCCCACAAGGATAATCTTATAATATTGGATAATATTTATCCCAATAGGGGTTATTGAGGTTACAATCTATTTCACCCATGGAGTGATGAGTTTGAACGAAATAACCGCAAATACCTAAATGATATTTAGTAAATGATACCCACAATAGTTCCCCTCCTATACCAGACCTTTTAATTATTAGTTATATTTGAGGGAGTAATAAAGAGCCCATCATCCATACTATAACTTGCCAATAGGTCAAGATACCATAATAGTATTCCATAATTATGGTTTATTAATAATTGAAGTATAATATCTTTACGTGGTTAGCCAAAAACTCATTCTAGTTTGGCCCACCATCAATATGAATTGTTATCCCTAAAGAATCACCGATCCCTTATGGCCTAAGTCAATATGTCGAGAGAGTGTATGTTTAAGGTACACAAATATTAGGTCCACATCAAGTATCTTGAGCTAAATCAATTAAGAGATGATAAACTATTGGACAATCACTTGGACTAGGGGATATCATATATATATATATATATATATATATTTATCATGAGTCATATAATCACATCATGTGACTCATGATAAAAAAATCCTCTTATCATCTTAGTTTTGAATATTATACAATAATCTTCCACGTTATACATTTAATTGTCATATGTTTCATTAGATTAATAGGAAAATGCTCAATCTATTAAACATATGAGGAATTATATAAGCCAACTATATATTCTTGCTATAGATTTTCATATAAATAAAGGTTATATATATGAAAAATATAACTGATGCAATCAACTAGGGGAGGATATCCCCACATATTATTGGAAAATATTCGTTTATCTGCCCGTTCTTAAAATAATCGCAATTACTAATAATATTAGTTGATTTATAAGTAAAATAAATCCTACCATAATATTCAGTTACCAATAATGTCAAATGGCCAGAAAAATAATGATATAAGAAGGAATATACTATTTAGTTATAAACATTACCATGGATGTTAATTGGATGATGTTAAGGGACCACATAGGTACTATTAGATAGTTGATCACCTCTTCCATTATTATATTGTAATCTGCCCATATACCTCTGTATTAATATGGGAGAGGCTATTAGTCGAGAATACTAATATTCTTTCTAACCAATATGAGCATAAATGATGAACTAAAAAGGCAAAATTAAATAATGGCTGATACATGAATCATCGTATGATAAGTTAATCAATAACGGAGTATTTTATCAATTGTCATGAGTGAGTATAAGACCCTCATCCATTATTTGCACAGATATATCACGAACCTAGGTTACGCATAATCTATTTAACCCATCAAAATATAATTAGTGAGTTTTTATACTATTATTGGCTTATGTTAAGGTTTGAAAATAATTTAAAATTTTGATGCTATTTCTCAATTGCTATAATTTGTATAATTAGAATTATCTATATTAGTATGTCAATTTTGGTATTAATGCCACAGGAGAATTCTAACTTTGAAATGGTTTACCGATAAGAGAGAGGAAAGGGATAGACTACCTTTTGTATCTCTATTATAATAATCCTTTTCAAATTCTGATTGAACATAAATAATTTAGTTCCCTTGTGTTTAAATTGATCTAGAGTAAATTGTAATTAGTTCCCTTATATTTAGGTCCATGTCTTAACTATCATTCATCCAAATATTGACATTTTCATAGGCCATAAATGCTCTCTCATCATTTAGGGATAATATTCCCTATTTTATAAGTTTAATCTCCCTACTCCAATCAACTCGTAACCCAAACTATTATTGATTAGTATACCTATACTAAATATCATGTATTTTAACATTATAATAATTATATACAATCTTATTGATTCACTCAAAGGTATCCTCACTCTAAATTAGTGGAGATCATTATTAAAACCACATTGTTCCTTTACGGTTAACTATTATCCAAATAGAGATACTATGGTCCACAGTTATAAATCATGAAGACTCGTCATTCATGCACATATAAAAGATAAAAAGGGAGGAGGAGGGAGAGAGAAGGAAAGAGAGAAGGGCTAGATTGTAGGAATAATAGTTCTACCTATCTCTCCATCTTTCCACCCTATCTAGCATTCTTGCTTTGGATGAGAGAGTGAATATATAAATCAACTCTCCTAAGTTTGAGTGCTTCTTTGTGATTGCTTGAACGGTGTGGATAATCAATAGAGATCGGATGCTTGGATGACTCCTTTCTTTGTTAAAGAATTTAGGCTACATGTTTGGCATAAAATGCAGTAATCTAATCCAACCAAAGGCTTTTCCTCCCTAATTGGTTATTCTTAATCAATTACCTCCCTCTATTCCTAGTTATTATAAAAAGAGAGAGAGAGGGAGAGTGAGTGAGAGAGTGTGAGGGAGGGAGTACATCCCTATATAATAACCTCCAAAGAGTGGAAGAGAGAGACTTAAAATATTATGATTCAGGGGAATAGAGAGAGAGATGGACCATGGCTTGGTTAGATTATGAAGGTCCTCTTTCCCTTATATTGATTAAGCAATATTAACATAATGTTTAGGTGTTCTACATGCCTTCTTAGATAATTTTAGTCCTCTCTAATATTGTTTTTCAACATTCCATTTTTTATGTCTCTCTCTATTTCCACAATAGTTAACTTGGTATTATACCAAGTTCCATACCTCCATTTCCTTGATATAGAATTAGCATGCAAACGAGAAGGAATTGAACAAGGAGAAGTGGCTAATTCCAACTTTTACAATAATTGGTAAACCATTATTATTATGAAGCTTCACAAAACAGAACATGGGCAATTGAGAAGAGAGAGGGGAGAGAACTTAATGGTTCTTTAAAGGGAGAGAAAGAGGGAGTGATGCCTCTCCTATAGCTTCTAATTCTTGTCAATCGTTTATTCCTAGATGGGCCCATATTTAACTAAATACAATATGATTGGTCAAATGTGATGGCCAATTCCAATCATTTTTATGATAAAGAGCATTCAAAGGAGAGCATACATATATTCATAATTCGTATCCCTTACGGGTAATATTAGGTACCCATGTCCTTTCACTCCCACATTTGGAGGCATTTACAATGTTGGCCTCTCAATACTTGGTTAACCTTGGCAGGATAGACTCTTATTCTAATATGTTACGAGTCAACAAACGGACTATTAAGCAACGTCAAACTTGGGCCAAAATATCCAATGTTTCAATTATTAGAATTCCCATTTTTTGAATTAGAGATTTATGCTATTAATTGTTATGGTTATGTGTTAACCTGGGGATGAGAAACTTTTCAATGAGGATTGTATTGCTAGTTCAATTAAAGGGGAGAGGGAGAAGGAAGATGGATTTTCACCCCCACTCCCTAATAAGGAAGTGTTTGATAAAATTATTCATGATAAACACCTAGTTTCACAAAGCTCTCTTTCCACAATTCGTACACTAATAATAGAGGGAGGGGGGAGAGAATTCCGTAAGCAACACCCTCCCTCTATCCCTTTAATGGTTTAGCAGGGGTAAGTAATCATGTCCAAGAAGAGGGGGCCTCTCTCCCTCCCTCATTGGAGTTGGCTAGTGACAAAGGTATTTGGGTCTGTGTGATGAAGGAAAGAGGGAGAGAGAGGGAGGGAAATATCTATCTCTCTCCCTCTCTCCCTCTATCTCCACTACTTAGTATCCTTACCAATGGTCAGTATAGCATTTATCAAAAAATATTTTGTTATATCATTTATATCAACGTTGGTATTAACTTGGTTTTTAGGCCACATTTTGATAGCAAAGATTAACCATAGAAAAAGTGCAAAATATATCCAATAAGATTAAGAAAAAAGGAGATGATTCCTAATAGTCACTCTCCATGTAGAACCTTTTAGTCATCCAATAAGATGGTGTATCATATGCCTTAGCCAATATTATCTAAATTTATTGTAATTCCTTTAGGTGATGGAGATTGAAAAGAGGGTATGTTGGAGAGTGATAATTAGTGCTAATTAAGCGAATGAAGGGAATATTGGTAATACTCTATGGGTAACCACCATCAAGCCCATCCTATATTTTGAGAAGAGATAGAGAGGCTAAAAAGTCGCTTTCTCTTCAATTTCCGTTACAGATTGTCAAAACTATAATATTTGAGATTATTGATAAATAATATTGCTATATAATTTAAGCATGCAACACTTAATTGATGTTTTGTGTAGACATAGAATCATCATGATTATGGACGGGGTAGACAACCTTAGAGTGACAATTGAATCCCATAAACTATTTATATTTTATCAACTTGAAAATAATGGTAAAGGTTATCCATTACCATCAATTTCAATACTCGTGATTTCCTCATAAATTTCCATATCCAAAAATATGGCCTATCCTAAAAGCACTTTCTAGAAATAGGTCGAGTATATTAAAAGCATAACAATTGATGGTAATCCATAACGTATCTCGAAGAGAGGCTATTAAGTTTGATAGGCACTATTATCCCTTCCACTATGTCATAATATTATACGAAAGACTTAATTTTTAATTATCCTTAAACAGGTGTTGGACATTCCCTCTATTATATTTGAAGGTTCGATAATCTTTGGTTAGCCTAAGATATATTAGGGATGGTTATCTAGGTTAGTTAAGGATTTATTGGTCCACTCATACCAATGATATCTCCTTACAAACTAATCATATACTCATCTTGCCTTGATCCATGTATATTATTGTGATTACTATTGGGAGCTCACTAAATACCAAAAGCTTATTAATATGACATACACTCTAATATCCTTCAATTTATCCTACATAAATTATACTATTATCCTTTATCAACACTATTTAGGTAAGTTATTCCTCTCACTTTCCCTCTAAAAAATGTGATAGAATACAATAATAAGGTGGGAAAGATGTAAAAGGAGGTAGGGAGGAGAGAGAGTGGACATTGACTTCCTTGCTCTCCCTCTCTATCATGTCCCGCTATAGTTAATTTATAAAAGATATGATGTGCTAAGCATTTAATTATTAATGTATCAAAAAGACTCCCTCTCTCACTACCTCCTTTTACATCTTTCCCTTCCTCTCTCCCCCTCTCCCTTTCAATCCTATTCTCTCTATTTCACACTTTCTCCCCCTCCCTCTCTCCCTCTCTCTCCCTTTTCTCCCCCTCCCTCTCTCCCTCTCTCTCCCTTTTCTCTCTCTTCCTCTTTCCCGCTCCCCTATCCAATTCATCAATAATGAAGTTCCTCCCTCTTCTTGTTACATGCATTAACACCTTGATTGATTGATTTGGGTGATGGGGGTGAATATTCTAAAATTCTTGGTCCCATAATCTCATATAGGAGAGATTTTAGTTGAATGCTTAAACTTATACATGTGACTCTTTTATCTAGGATAATAATGAAGTTCCATTATCAAAGGAAGGGCCATGAAAAAATGGTCTAAACTTAATAGTGAGAGGGAGAGAGAGGCAAAGAGAGGGTGAAAGAGAGAGAATAGGATTGAAAGGGAGAGAGGGAGTGAGGGGGAGGGAGAGAGAGAGAGAGAAAAGGAAAGATGTAAAAGGAGGAAGAGAGAGGGGAAAGAGAGTGGAGGGAGAGATGTTAATTCTTATTGGAATGCTTGATAAAATGTCATCAAATCTATTATGATTATGTAGTTGGCCTCATGAGGGTGATTTAACTAAGGATAATGACCCAATCTCATGCCAATTATTAATCTATCATAGTCCAGAATTATATACTAGAAAAGGGAGATAGAGAGGGGAAATGCTAGCAATATAGTTAACATTTACCCCTAATTTAGAAGGGGAGAGAGGTATCACTCTCCCTTTAACTTTTACTAATTAATTTCCCATTCTCCCTCTCTTTATTTAATCTGTCCATAATTACACTATGTCTCATTTAGAGAGCGTACATTGATATTTATTCCCTACCTCTCTCTCTATCACATCGTGAATTATAATATTATTGATGGAGAAAGAGAGAGGGGAGAGTGAAACTAATAATCATTACATAACATTATCATATTTAGTTTACTATCATATAAAGATCGTAGCTATGACATCACCCCCAATTATCATTATTAACACTATCCCTCTCCCTCCCTCTCTCCCACTCACTCTCCCTCTATCTCTCTCTCCCTCCATCGTCGTCTCTCTCCCTCCCTCTCCCCATCCCCATCTCTCCCTATCCCTTTTTCTCGCTCTCCCTCTCTCTCCTCTTTCTCTTCCTCTCCCTCTCCCTCTCCATCTCTATCTCGCTCTCTCCCTCTCTCCTCCTCTACCTCACTCTCTCGCCCCTCTCCCTCCATCCTTCTCTTGCTCTCCCTCCTCTCTCTCTCCCTCTCCCTCTTCTTCTCTCCCTCTCATTTTCTCCCTCTCTCCCACTCTCCCATTCTCTCCATTCTTCTTCCCATCTCTCCTTTTCTCTCTCCCTCTTTTTATATCCCTTTCTCCCCCTCTATCCCTCTTTCCTCCTCTCTTCTTCCCTCTCTCTTTCCCCTTTCCTCTCCCTTTTCCTCACTACCTATCTCTCCCTTCCTTACTCTCCCTCTCTCTCCCACCCTCTCCCTCTTTCCCTCTCATTCTATCCCTTTCTCCCTCTATCTAAGGGCCCAAGATCAAACCATTGAATCTCTAACCATATATGCATGAATTTAAAGTAAGGATCAAGGATTACCTCTTGTAGCGTAAATCTAAATTCCTTTCCGGAAAAGCCGTTTAAGTGTCCGATCTCTATTGATGATCCACACGGTTCAAGTATCCATAAAGAAGCACTCAAAATCAATGGGGTACTAGATCCATATTTTTTGATTTAGTATTTTCTATAGAAATCAATCCTAGGTAATTTTGGAACAACCTTAAAGGATAAGGAAAGAGTATATCTTGCTAAGGTTTAGGAGAAAACTATGTTCTCCTTATTTTTCTCTCTTGGCCATATGCCCTATTTTATATTTAAGGTTGGCCAAAATTATTCTTTCCTCCCTTTTCTTTTTGGTCGAATACTTTGTCTCTCTTCATCTTTCTTTTATGCTGCACTTCTCTTCCTATATATAAAGGAAGAGTTTTCTTATCCTTCAAGGATAAGAAGAGGGGCTACATTAAGTCCCTTTTAGGACTCTAGGTTGTTGCTTCCTTATCCTCCAAGGATAAGGACTTATTTTTACATGTGGAGTATTTAATTATTATGTTTAAAAATTTTAATCATATCCAATAAGTTTGATGTTTATCTTTAAAAAATTTATCATTATCTAATAAAGTTGATGTTTATCCTCCCACAAAAATATCTTAAGGCTTTTAATTAAACCTAATGGGCTAAAACCATTTTAGCCTAATTAATTTATTTGGACTATCCAAATAAATATTCTTAGATTATTTTAGGCAAGGTCCATATTAGGAAATAATTTCCCAAAACCTTTAACCTAAATTAAGAAAATCCTTTCCTTTTAAGTTCTTAATTAATCGATTTCTAAAATAGAAAACTTTTCATTTCAAGAAACTTCCTACTTAAGAAAACTTTTCATTTTGGAAAACCTTTCCAAAACAGGAAACTTTTATACTTGCAAATTTTTTCCAATATTTTGGCTTCTCATTTATAATGTGAATACTTAAACTTATGTGTATGACTCAATAGGCTTCTAGATATGTTGGCAATGTATCATGAACAAAAGACTCCTCTTTTATTTATTGATGCATAAATTAAGATTGACCTCTAGTAAGGTACCATGACTACCCAATTCTCTAAGAGGATTAGCTAATCCATTATTGCCTTTCACAAGCATGGTTACCATACAATTTAGTCCTCATGTCAACTTATCACAATGTGGTCTTGAACATGGTTGTTAGTCTTGTTCGATTATGATCACACAAGTTTTCTTCGATTCCTAAATGTCTTAGCTCTTAGAGTAAACCAACTATGCTCTATTGGTGCACTCCTACTATGATCACGAGTTTCTTGAGCGAGAAATTTATCAAAGTGCAATGTGATAACTCCTTTAGCATACAAGGAATGACATGTTCTATCTTAATTATACACCTACCTACATTGAATTCCTAGTGAACCCAACAAATCGTCCATGTGTAACCCATTAATGGGTCCATCAAAATGAGTGTCAAAGTGCATAAGTCCTTCAATGAGACAACCGTGATGACTTCAAGTCTAAAGACCATTTATACCCATCTTATATGAGATTCTCATAGACTGAAATGGGTTCTCATGGTGAGTCAAGTCCAATGACATGTTCTCTAACATGAATCACTAAGTGCTTGCTTTGGCATAACATGCCAATAGGTGTGAGATCTCCTACTATTATCGCATAGCATGAGCATAGCACTCACAAGTCTATTCGTATTTTTTCAATGTCTATTATTAACAATGCTATGACTTGAGATGTTTAATGATATCATTTATATGTATTAGTGTTTGTCTCACATCTTTCGACTAATCACTATTGTAAATGCATATCATAAGAACTTCTATCTAATTCTATTGA